ATATTGCATTTTTTAAATATCACAAATATCGTCAATATTATTAATATAATGAAGACACAGATATGAATATGGTAATGAGGAAGAAAACATGACTTAACCGGTTATATACATGCTGTGTAAGCTAATGTAGTAAGTCAGATAATAGCACCTGCCGCACAGTGACAACAGTAAATCTTGAGTATTTGCAGTCAGGGCTGTAGCTGCAGACTGTTCCGGTCCCTGTGCTGTAATTATCACCTCAGTGTCAGCACAGACTGAGCTCAGGCTTTGAACTGCAGGCAGGGCTGCTAATGAAGAGCCAACAGAGGCCCAACACTGCTCCGCTCAGTCACGCACTGGGCCTGGGTTTCTTAAGAGCTACGGGACACAAAGCACGCAGATTACTAGTGGATTAAGAGTTATTCATCGTGGTTAAATCAGGAGATGGTTAGATTATTGATCTGTTTCATTTATTTCACTGAGTTCCTCAGTTTATCTTTGATGTGAGGCGGTGGGGGTTTTCCTCTTTCTTCAGAGGATCTCTCAAAGAGTGTGTTGTCGTTCTCTTATGGACGCATCTGTGGATGCTGCTCTTTCTTTTATCAGGTTAGTTCTAATTACTACTCATGAATCTCTTTCAAATAATCTGAAAATTAAAACACATCACTTCCTGTAAACTGGAGGATTTTTACCAGGAAGGAGCGAGCAGCCACTGAGGGTTGGGAACAACTACAAAAAAAAATACAGTAAAACATGATATTCACAAGAAAAAGGTGCATTTTCCTACCTTAAATCGCACTTTCTTGAGCATCATCCTTGAATCCAGATAAAAAGACAGTAACAAAAATGAGATGTTACAAAACTTTCCCAACTCCAAACTCCATTCAGGAAAACAGTCTCCAGCTAAACTCCAATCAGTCGATCCTCCACAACAAATCCAGTCACAACATCCAAGCTGAATCACTGTGTGCTCTGCGGTGCGAGGTGTCTGCCTGCCGACTGACTGTGTGTGCCAAAGACAACAGTGTCTGCCCCAGTGTCGCCCTGCTCTCCCCTCTCCCTCTCCCTCCTCTGAGACCCTTCACAAAGCTTATCAGGCTGCTCATTCATTCGTAAAACAGACACACCCTCTTTTTATGACTGGAGGGCTGCTATTAACACCCCCCCCTCTCCGACAACACCCCCCCAGTCCATATATGGGTGGCTGGTAAGCTCTCTTAAACTCGTCCCCCTTGACCCTTTAAAGGCCCGCCCTTCATCTCCCAGCGTTTACCCATCTGTTGGACCAAGGTCGTCTCAGCTCAGGCATCTGCACTGCCCTCACCGGTTTTCCAGTGGCTGTTCAGCTTGCTCCTCTCACACAGTCCCATTCTGTGTGGCGAGAATACGCTGCCACAGCGAACAACATGCATTTCACACTCCAATAAGCCTGCCAGAACAGATCGATGTTCGCCAGAGGGATGAGTTACTGCAGTATCCAGTTACAATAAGTCTGGAGTCTTCTAACCTCAAGCGCAAGAATGTGTTTTGGCATGTGTGTATAGCATATCTACAAAACAGTCTGTTTGGTCAAGTATTGCTGTTGCTTGTGCTCTGCATACGTTTTCTCCACACAAGAAGGTGCTAGTCCATTCTCAGTTGGCATGGCGACTGGTGCTTCAAGGTGTGCTACATCATTCACCTCTACAAGGTTCACATAAAGGGACCAGGACTACTTCCCTAACTTTATCTTTGTGATGTCACAAATCCTGCTGTAGCCCCGCCCCTTAAAACAGATGTTCAATGAAGCTCAGAGGAAACTTTCCACTTCGGTCAGCAGGCATGAATGGGTTGAAAACATCCCGTTCTAGTGTTCAAACTGCACATACAGCATTCAAACAGTACGCTGTAGTAATGAGAAGAACAACTGATTTCTGACTGGAGGGGGGCTTTAAGCTGTAAACCACTCCAGGAGTTCTCCATGTAACTTCCCGTAAGTTGTTTTTACATTTAGTTTTTTGTACAGGTTAAAGATACAATGTGTCAATTAGTGAGCTTGAGTGGTGCTAGCAGGGTCATTATTTTAGCTTTTGAGTGAGCCAGGCTAGCTTCCTCTGCTTCCACGTTTTATGCTATCATAAACTAATCCACTTCAGCAGTGTGCCAACAAAGGCAGGGAAGAAGAAGACTGCAAAGAAAACATACATGCTGGTTTTAAAATACTTCAAAAAATCATCTTTGCAAATGTTTATGAGGACACATTTATTAGAGCCCAAAGATATACATGAAACTGATTTTTCTCACAATGTTATCATTTAACTCATGGCGAGAAATATGCACGTGTAAACCATACATTTAAAGAGCTTGGCTCTTACTTTGTAAAATTGTAGAGGGGGACTTAATGTGACTAAAAAGATAAGAAAAGGACTGTTTTGACTTTTGAGGAAGTGTTTGTTTGATCTTTGACCCCATGCTGTTGCAAATAGAAACACATAAAAGTGCCTTAATCCTGTAAAACCACCCTCAGAGTCAGTCACCTGTTTGCTGTCAGTGAGGCCAGTCCAGTCTTTAGGCATATCTCAGATCAGCCAGACCTGAATAATGGGATTTCTGTTCAGGTGGATAAAACAAAATATTTTGGACCATTCAGAAAGTTACAATCCATTTAAAAAACTGAAAATAATTTGTGTATTAGCAAGGCTGATACATTCAAGTTCGGCCTCCTGCATTTTTCCTGTGTGTTTCCATCACACATACATACATATAATATATATGTATCCAGTCTGTAAAACGTATGTGTCATAGATACCCTAAAGCTGGTTCACAACCTGGGGGCCCTACAAGTGGCTGCATGATAAATCCACAATAAGCACTTTTTGGACTGCACTGTACTTATAAGGTGGGATTTAAGGGGGTCACCACTACAGGAGCCGGTGCTCTAGCGGTACAATAAAGATCAGACATGAGTCATGCGTGTCGAGGTACGAGGCCGTGGCTCACTGCTCCATGTTTAGTCTGGCTTCTGTGACCCTCGCAGTCAATGCTAATGAATAATGTCTCGCGTGACCGGACAGGATGAGTCATGAGGCTTTAAAGGTGACTGTGGTTAGTCATTGCATAAGACAAAATAAAATGAAATACCTCAGCTGAGTTAATGCAGGAAATATCAAAATACTACCAAAAGTATGTATACAGGTGGCTTATTTAGTCATAATGTATCCTGTAACTGTACTGTCCCTCTTTTATGTCATATTACATTTTATTTTATAATCTAAACCACTAAACTACAAAGCATCAATCGACAGAGACTAGGGGCCACTGGCACCAGGAGGAACAGGTCCCAACTGATACAGCAATATCAGATTCAGTGTTCAGATACTTTAATACTTAAGTAAAAGTTTTAATACCACACTGTACAAATTCAGTACGTTCTGCATTAAAAGTGTAACTTAAGTAAAGGTATGTAAACGTCTAATGTACTTAAAGGTCCAGTGTGTAACATTGAGAGGGATCTATTTGCAGAAATGGAATTAAATATTCATAGGTATGTTTTCATTAGTGTATACCTGTATCTGCATCACCTGAGAATAAGAATCTGTGTTTTTGTCTCCAAAGAATGAACCATTTATATCTACAGATGCCGCAGTTCGCCTTCCGTATTGAACCGCCATGTTTCTACAGTAGCCGGAACAAACCAAACATCAGCACTAGATACAGCCATTCACGTTCTGTTTGTTTTGTGGCCTCCGTAGTTTCCCCCAGTGAATTGTGATCTGCAACTACACCACTAGATGCCACTAAATCCTCACAGTGGACCTTTAAAGTGATTAAAAGTAGAAAAATAAAATATTAAACATCATTAGATTAATATTACTCATACAAAAGACAAATGAAAAGCACGATTGTGAATTTGGAACCATGAAATGTTTTTACATGAAAAATGACAAATGATCATGAAAATAATTCATTTTCTGTCAATCAGCTAATTGATTAACTAATCCTTTACTTTATAGCAGGCTCTTTTCCCTCTCCCTTTTATTTTGTAAAGTAACTGAAGTTGTCAAATACATGTAATTGAGTAAATGTACTATATTTCCCTCTAATGTAGTGTAGAAATGTATTTATTTAGATTATATCAAACCAGGCAAGTCATTAATAACAATTAACAATTGTTTTATTGGCAGTAGAAAGTAGTGTGTTGTATTCTTACATTATTGATGATTCCCAACTGGGTAAAGTCCTGGTGCTAATTAAGTGCATTACCAACACAAAAACCCAAGTCAGACTTACATTTTTCAATAATACATTTTATTCCATTAAAGATTCTTTTTTTCTAATTGTACACTGGAATGTTAAGATTCCCCTTCAGTAATTTAGTTAAAAATGCTCCATCTAGTCATTTTCAACCCCACATCCACACAACCATTGCTAAATTGAAACTTGGGGAATACAAATTGAAAAAAAAAAAAAAAAACAAGAACATGAAAGACAAATGTTATATTTTGAATAATGCTGATGTACTATGAGAATGTAAGTAAAGGATGACTCGGTGGATGCACAGAGTTACTGCGAGGGCTCCGGTGGTCTCTCTGCTTACCTTGGATGTGAGGGGAGAGGGTCCCATATAGGTTGGCAGTGTGATCCCTGCTCTGTGTGTGTGCGGACTGTGGACAGCTATCATGCCAACACACATCCACTCGTGTCAGATCTAAATTGCCATGTGGGATGTCAGATTAAGGGGGGCTTGGATGTTGTTTCTGGGCTGCGTTCAAAGCATTGTTCACTGGCTGATACTGAGGGCTGGTCACGGGACTTAAATGGGACCAGCAGTGAAACATGGCGCCTCTTTTGTTGACAAAGTGAGAGTGGTTGCAATGGTGTTACAAAAAACAAAAAGATCATAAGAAGGGATTCAACAGATTGCAATATTAATGTTATTTACTGGTGGGTAACTTTGTCCCGGCCAGCTGAGAATTCCTTACAAAGTCGCTGCTCTTCACTGTCAATATCCAAAGGATTAGTGGTAAGACAATGACCAAAGATACAGCAACAGTAAAAAATATCAAGTTAAAAATAAAAAGGACACGTTGCTGGATGATAACCTCAGACAGAACAGACAAATAATACTGAGCACAGGCTTTTCACCTCTCTACAAAAACTAAAACTCATGCGTCCTCACAAGAAAGAAAAAAAAACAATCATCTGAAGTGAGATAGAGCAAATCACAATAGTTTAACGATTAAAGAGTGACAGGCTTATAATGATTGACAGCTACAATTCTGCAGTTATTATGGATAAGAGAATCTGAAAAGACAGAAAGCAAGAACCCCATTCAAGAACGGCTTTGAACCATTGCAACGTGAGCGTGAAGAAGAAAAGGTTGTGGAGAGGATGCATGATTCTCGGAGGGGATGCTAAACTAGCAGCGCTCACTCTAGTGGAGACTGATGCAGTGGCCTCAGGTCCCTGTTCTCCCTCTCTACCTCCTGGCAGGGTTTCACTGATAGATGGACGAGGAGACGGCCGCTGGCCTCTCCTGCACCCCCGCAGTCATCCTCTACTTAGTCTGAAGTCCTCTTTACAGTTCTGCTTGGCGAACACAACAGCATCAGTGTAGTTTTTTTCTTTTGTGTGTGTTTGTTGGTTTCAATTAACTCTATATATAGATGATCCTCTCTCATACAAACATATAAATACACCACCGCTGCTCTGCTCCACCACAGGAAGAGGCTTTGCCAGAGGGCTGACGTAGTCCTGTCGATGTACACAGTCTCTGAAATAGTATACAGGGTGGGCAGGCAAGAAATCTTCAATCTTTCTCTGTAGCATAGATTTGGACTTTTTTTTGTTGGTGATTTTTTGATTTTGACGTTTTCTCTGAATATTTTTTTACAGGATTTCGTATTTGTCGACAACAAAGGAGGTTTCTGAAGAGAATCTAACGGAGCTGTCGCCATCTACGTGAGTCACTTTGGTAACCTGGGAAAAAAGAAAAGCGGCATTAGCAGCCTGTAAGTACCTTATCAGACTGAGCTGTTTGACTTTTATCTGCTCTCTATACAGTTCTATCTATCCATCACATTTCTTTAGGCCGACACATGGACTACAACAATACATTATGTCATAGTCACTTTTTAAAACATTAACGTGGAACATAAACAAACTATGCTGATAGGAATCCCCCATGGACTCAGTTTCTAAATGACCTGGGGCCAGCCTAGTTCCTTTCTGATTTCCCTGGGATTAGCTAATATGAGCAGATTATAGAGGCCAGGCAGGTTTTGTCTGACCAACGCTCCAGAAACCAAACATATTCAGTTTGAATTGATCTAAAACAGAGAGAAGCAGCAAATCCTTTCATTTCACTTCAGAAGCTAAAATCTGCCATCTTTACTAGATGCTGCTGATCAACTAATCGATTAACTGATTTGATTACGTTGTTTTGAACTGACAGCATGTTCACAAGTGGCAAACTTACATTTACAACTTTATTAGGTACACCTGTACAATCCATTACAATCCACTACATCTGCTCTGCTATCATTTCTGAATGTTCACTTTCTATCAATTTTAATTACTTTGATTATTAAGGTGCTAGTTAAAGATGGTGATGCACAGACTACAACATACATGAGGGAGGCAGAATATTAAAAACCCCTCTGAATAAAAAAGTAGTCCAATACAAAACCTTTTTTTGAAGGCGGAAACAAAACCTCTATGACTGTGGTTTCCAACCTGAGGGTCGGGACCCGGGGAGTCAAGATGCCTTCTTGGTTTTAAGGGGTCAAAGGAAACGTAGAAAATATACACAGTAGGCCAATATCTCAGCATTCTATGAAGGTATCTAAATGAAATTGTTGTTTTTAAAATTGAAATGATTGAAAAAAGACCTGAACACAGGCTACATTCACAGAGCCTTCCCTCTCTGATGAACAGCCCCGTCCTGCACTAGCACAGTATGTATGACTGTTAATAGAAAAGGGAGCAGTTATTCACTGTTTGGGTTCATTGTACAGTTTCAGTTGTTCTGCACTGTTATTGTTGTGCATTGGATAGAGTATGAAATATCCACTAAATATATCATTCAGTCATGAGCTGTCAGTCTACTGAATGATAGAAACTCCCTTGAGGAAAAAGGTTTGGACCCACTGCATTAGATTGTACAGGTGTAGCTAATAAAGCTGCCAGTGTATGAGATGTCTCAGTGGCTTCAGGGGTAAAACGTTTCCAACCCACCTGGATGTCGCAGTAGTTGCGCTTGGACACAAAGGACACATTGATAGGGAAGAAATCATTGGGCTGTCCGGCGATGCTGAACTCCAGGCTGCCGGTCTTGTTGTTGGCATCGATGACAGGTAGGCACCACTCCAGGACGTTTCGCCTGCTGTCATGTTTGTACTCTCCATCCAGATCACCAATCACAGGGGCTCCCACACCAGACCTGCAGCGGAGGAACAACACAAGCAACATACACACAGAGGTTTTAGGATTCTGAATTGGGATGCATGGTAATAGATATATAGATACACACACACACAGACACAGACACACAGACACACACTTCTTGGAGAATCTTAGTGATACATAGGAAAGGGTGCAGATTCCTTTAACTGTATAAAACAACATTTTTACTTTCCTCTATCGGGGGAAGAGTTTTGTAATCACGTGGACCACATTTCAGCCACACATTGCTAATGTGATACATATAAGATAAAAACTGTATAAAATAATACAGTGGGTAGAAATATCATGTCCTTACGGTACTGGGATGCTGATCACCACGTCGTTGAGCTCGAGGCTCTCCTCCTGCAGCTCGTATTCAATGTTGACATCACAGCCAGTACCGCTCTCTGAAGGCCAGCAGTTTACTGTAAAGGAACAACCCAGTCATATTAGTGTGACGGTGAATACCGGTACAGCACCAGGCTCTCATTATCTGAGGAAACAAACTAAACTAACCAGGTAAAGCCCCTGTACTGGCACTTACTGGTTAGAGGTATGAGGGACTCGTCTGTGGTCTGTAGTCTCCACTTCAGCACACCAACATCATTGTTGAGAGGGAAGGACTTCTCTGGGTTCTTCAGGCCAATCACTGAGTCAGCTGTGAACAACTTCTTGTCCACATTGGGATGTGTCTGAGAAGACAGAAACACATGTATCCATTAGACACTTGTTAAACTCAGAGAAGTTGTGTGTTTATTTGAAAGATTTCAAAGCATGAAAGGTGATATTCCACACTGCAGCAGCCTCTAACATTATTTACATAATAGAATAAGAATATAGAATATACTTGTGTATAGCATGACATTATCTCCAGCTACTGTCTGGAATATGTGGTAGACCTACTTGCAGCTGCAATCCTTTGTTGTCATTATTGTTGATGATGAGGCGGATGCGTCCGTTCTTGTCGTCTGTGACTCGGAGTGTCACCATACCCAGCACCTCCATGTTCTGTAGGCCGCCGTCACGGCCACAAGTCAGCGAGATCTTTTCCTCCACGCGCAGATGTACACTGGAGAGGAAACACATCCAAACACGCTTCAATCTATCAAACAACCACACTGGAGACAGCCTGAACAATGAATACTCAACACTCACACATTTGACCCTTTTCATGCCACAAATGTATCAAAGTGGAGATAAGAGCAGGACAGGAGGAGCTTCATGTATTGGTTTCCTAGTTTGAATTCCAAAATACTGCAGGTGAATGACACTGAAGGACCAATTTATGACTTAAATAGAAAACAAATATCTTCTCTGGGTATTCTAGGCCTGCTCTACAGGACAATGGGCCTAAATATAACTACTGACACTATACAAATAAAAATTAAATTAAAGAAACAAATATACAAACACACATACAATTCATTAAAATTATAACTTAAATTATAGCTTCATTGAGTATCATTATCAGCTCCTCTCGCATTGCAGTATATTCAGTGTGGTGCAGGAGATATCAGTATCAAGTTATTGAAAATCAATGTAGTGAATTTAAAAGAAAAAAGAAAATCACAGAACTGCCCATTAAGTGGTACAATCACAAAAACGATATCAGATATATCAGGTTAGGTGAAGTACATTTGCTTTGTTTAATTTGAACTTCACTGTCAAATATTTGCTCATCAGACCAGGTACAGGTACACCCATTTGATATCTATGTCATCATTTGGGCTGGGCACAATTAAGCAGTACTCAACACTATTGCTATGATGTTGAAAACACTGCTTACAGTTACTTTAAATAAAACTTCCATATGGCTACAACGCTCACACAAAGTCTTCAGTATTTGATATGATTCTAACAAATGGCCAAATGAGGTCAGTGGAAACAAACTTTTCATTCCAGAAAAATAAACATTATTTAATCATGGTGATCGTGATGTGTCTGTACCTCTCCACATTGACTGGTGGTGGTAGAGCTTTAGATACATCTGAGCCCCTCTTTCCTGTGGTGGGCATGATGGTTTCACCCTCGGACTTGAGCTTGTCAACAAAGTTATCCACCTCTTTCCCCTTAGCACCCAGTTTCAGAGCCTTACTGGGTCCACTTGGTCTGGAAAGAATAAAGACAGCATCTTTAAACAGTGGTCTTCAACAATAAAATAAACAACAATGAATAGCAAAAAGAGATGTTTAAATAATAAAGTCTTTGACACGTGTATTTCCTGGAGTATACCTGACTGGAGCTGCTGTGATCTTGGGCTTCTCGGGCTCAACAATAGTGTCTGTGATGATGGACCCTGAGGAGACGCTGGTCATGCCGGCGCTGCCGAAGCCGCCAAAGGCTGGCACCTTCTTTCCGGAGCGCTCGGCATCCCTCCTAGCCTGCTGCAGCTCCTTGGCCTTCCTCCTCATCTCTGCCTTGGCCTCTCTTTCCTGAGTCTGTGGATTGAAAAAAAACAACAACATTTAAAGTTAAATTTAAAGTTTCAGTGTTTTTAAGACCTACATTTTCACACCTATACTGGCAAAAAACATACCAAGGGTGTGAAGGTAAACTAGTATTAGGTTCACATTGGTTTCTTTGTGTACAGACAAATTTAAGGAGCTTTCAAAATCATATTTATGACCTTTTAAGAGATTTTAAAATTCAGATAATTGGATTTTTGACTTTTTAGGACCCCTCGGACACCCTGTAAATGATATGAGGTGACACACTGAGATAAATGCATCAGTTTCACCGCTGTTCTAATTGCTGTAAACTAGTGCAGAGTTAAATTACACAATTAGAGTTAATAGGATAAAAAAACCCATCTGTTTCTGTTCAAGATGGAACACATTAAATGACTGCAATGACCTGATTTCTCCATAGGGATCACCAAACGTTGCTTTATCCAATAAACCAGAGAGACTCAACAGTGTGATCTCACCTCTCTGACAGCACGGAAAACCTTCTCCTCGTGGGAGTCCATCTCTGTGAAGGTGCGGATCTGAGCCAGGTTGACGTTCTCTCTGTAGCCTAGTGCCACAATCTCATCGAAGGCAAAGATCAGGTCGAAACAGTGCTCGGATATTTCGCTCTCCTCCAGCACACGACAGTATTCTGGGATCTGGAAAGGTAGGGGAGAAAAATGAAGATCAATCAGACAACTGAACCATTTTAACATTTGGCGCAACCTGCAGTGAGTGAGAGATGTGAACTTTAAGAAAACTGAAAGATTATTTCTACATGAGCGCTAAAAACTTGACTGCTGACACCACAATGCATCTCATCTGATCCTGAATAAAAACACTATTGAACACTGTGAGACTGTTCAAGCATTGTAGCACAAATGCACCTTTCACCTATTTCTGACGAGCCGTTTACGTGCAACTTTAAACATGGTGAAGGAACACTGATTGCTGTACAGTTTTAATAGCACAGCTTGAGGTTTGAGGTTGGATGTATTAATGCAGATGTCACGCTCTAAGCTATTGTAATGAACATCCTATCAACTATCACATACATTAAATAACATCAGGTGATTTCTTGGAATCTACGTTTTAATTATTACATTTTTCCCTTTTGAGTTGTAATTTAAGTCGTTTCACTTTAGAGAAAAGGTCTGAACATATGAAAATGAAAATACACCCTGACCCCATTACCACCACACTATTTCCCCCTTTGTGTTGGTAAAGTTTTAGCCATTGACCACTCAAAACACTCAAAATGCATTTTGCATGCAATTGAGGTTTCCTGCCTGTCTGTAGTCAATACACAGAAGGGAAATAAAATGAATTACAAAAGTTTAAAAAAGCTGAAGCAGTGTCAAATGACTTCAACAGTACCAGAAAATAAAAGGAGAAAGGCAGGACAGGATGGTTTTCTCTTACATGACAGGAATAAAGTCAGTTTGCCGACAGATTTAGTGTCAAGTGAGATAAATACTAAACGCTTCACAGGATGTGGTCCTAATTCAACACGTCCCTTTCAGTCATCAAATGGAATAATGAGACCTAGTGTTGGACATGGCTTTGCCTAGAACTTGTACATACTTTAGTTTTATTTTGTCTCTGCTATTCAAGCACTACATGACAGCATGAGTCTCCTGCTCCAGCTACATTTGAAGTTAAGGAAAAAGGAAAACAATTAAATAGCTCATAAATGGTTTTACCTATACATTTATACTTGCTTATTACAGAAGCCTGATCGAAATCCATTCGGTTCTTTTTTGAGTTTCAAATGCATACACTGTTGGGGATTCACAATCCAACTCCAATGTAGACGTGCCATTATTACACACTGCTGGAGGCAGCTCCATGTTAACTCAAAGGGGAGAACAAGAATCTGGTGTCAGGTTCATGGACGTGTGAAAAACTATACATCCATTACATCATCCTGCCCTTTACATTAATATATAAAGTAACTATTATTATCCTATTGCTCCAGACAGGGGGACTGTGACAATGTTAACTTCACATCACACTGATGACGGATCAAAAGTCAGCTCCATGTTTCCTTACCACGCGGGAGAAGAGTCTGAGTGTCTCCAGGTCCTCCAGGATGTTGCTGTTCTTGGTGGTGATGAGGACCATGTAGAGTTTCTCCAGTGGCTGGTACACATAGCGAACACTGTCTGTTTCCACAAAGGTGTGCTGCTTGCCCGTGTTCATCAGTTTAGGGAACGCAGCCAGGAGACCCTCGATGCGCGTCCGGGTCATTTCCACAAACTGCCGCGATACAATGGCCTTGCCGGCCTTGGTGCACACCGCCGCTGCCAACAGCACCTGCAGGCGAAAAGAAAACCTGACTGTGAAGGTGCCTACAGACCTTCAGTATTGTAACACATTGTTTGAGCATGCAAATGATCCTGAAAAGAAAATCTAAGTTTGTCTGGCTAAAGTTAATTAACACACACAATAGATTGACCGTTTTGCTTCAACTTCATCTTTGGATCTGTCTAGGGAAAGCTTGCCAAGCTAAACATCAGGAAATTTAATTTTGTCTTAAAAAACAACTGTGTGCCAGATTGGGCACGATAAGCTGCTCAATGGCCCCCACTGTGCTGATGTTCTGTGGAAAGAGTAGCTGGCAACTAGCAGTACAAGCTGACATTTTATTTAAGAAGGTGCTTTTGCAGAACAAAATGTATGCCGAATTTGACAACGGTGAGAAGCGATTCAAAAAACGACATGAAGCTGTGTTCACAATGTACGTACGTCTGTCAAAAACCAACCAACCGAACCAACTTTGAAAAAGCCATTTTTTTTTAATAGAGTTTGGTGAGATTAGACTGGACCCTCATCTAACTAGAGACAACGCCAGCTATCGCGGTATGCTTCAATAACAGTTCATTTACTTCAATAAAAATTGTAGGTTTAGCTGAATATAAGTAAGCTTGATATAAATGTCCTCTTTATTACACTGTGGTAACTGAATGTAAAGCTGCGTTCATTCCACGTTGACAATGGCTGAAGTTAGAAATGAAAGACACCGACTACGATGGATATGAACTTGATATGGACAAGCAACACTTCTTAACACAGACAGTTCAGAATACATGTTACAGCAGCTAGAAACCCATAATGCTAATACACATGTAATTGTAGGCAGGGTTTTATAAGAGCGCCTGGCTGAGGACAATATGACAGCAGGTAACGTTAGCAGTTAGCTCGGTCCGGCTAGTGACAGGAGCTAACCCTAGCGCTAGCTTGTAAAGCTAGTTAACGTCAGCAGTGTCTGCACACTCAGCGCCGCCTCCTCACCTGAAATTACACTCACTATAATTATAACTGTAAAACGACGATTCGTTTACCTTATTTTAGCGACTAAACATACGGTTGGCGCTGTCGGCCCGGTGAAAAGCTGTGTTTGTCTTTGCTCTTATTTCGCTCTTGGAGAACCCAGCTAACTGATAGCTAGCTGTAGCTAGTGTTCAGGTTAGCCAATGTTATGATAATTGCTAGGCCCGATAAAAACCAGGGGAATATCTTCATTTTCGACTGTCACTCACCATTTTGGTCTCTCTCTATGGTACGACGATCTTCCGTCTCTCGTGTTTCTTGCCTTGATGATTTCTCGTCCCTCCGGAATAGCAGGGTGCGAATATACAGCTGACTTCAAGTTGTGTGATTGTTAGCTAGCTAGCGTCAATATGGCAGCAGTGCAGAGCCACGTCTCCACCGGAAGAGCAGCGCTGGACCCGCCCACTGTGGACACCAGTGACGTGGGCCGCACACTGTGGCCTTGTTGCACAAATGAGTTCCTGCACTACTTCCACAGGAGCTCTTCCTCTTATTTACGTTCCTCCGACCGCAGCTTCATGTCTACATTCAACTGTGGTACATACGCGATGGTTGAAATCAGTAATGTTAAAAACTTTAATCTTCATGAGGCAATATGACACAGGTTTAAGTGTTTTACTGCTACTACTATTAAACACTATTATCAACAGACATCAATTAAACGTGAGTGTTTTACTTCACTATTACACTAATAATCTTAGATTATCAATCACATAGGCACATTGGAATAATAATAATATATATAT